ACATTACTTACTTAAGGGATCATGTGGTGTCAGGGTTACCATTCTACATTTCAGCTCTTTGAGCAATATTCCCAGCCTATGATTCTTTCTATATTTTAAAAATACATACAAATATCTATTTTTCGGGAGGACACACCCAACAGTGGCTCAGGGATATTTCTGGCTCTGTGCTCAAGGATCACTCCTGACAGGCTCAGGGGGCCATAATGGGGTGCTGAAGACCAAACCCATGTCAGCTGCATGCAAGGCAAGTGCCCTGCCTATTGTACAATTGTTCTGGCCCCGGGAAAATATTATTATTAGTATTATAAACCACACAATCGGAATCAATAATTTTTTAAATAACTAAAAGTGCACAGCAAATTAAATGAAGAAGTAACACAGAAGCTCACTAGACTTGATAAATGAAAGCAGTAACACAGAAGACTCAACAGCAACAAACAACTCCGTAAATCCTCAGATAATGACTTTTAATAACACCAGTGTGAGATACAACAGATATATTTTCATAATTTTTTACTGAATTTTTTACAATTTCATTTAGCATTTTGTTGTAGCAAAACAATGTAAAATGAATTACTTTGTGCTGCTAAGGTGGCATGTTTGGGGAGGTAGGGGGTGGAAACTGGTTACAATACTGGAAGGAAGGTCACATTGGTGGTGAGACTGGTGTTGGAATATTGAATGCCCGAAACAACTACGTATAAATATCTTTGTAAGCCATGGTGTTTAAATAAAGTTAGAAAAAATATGGGGCTAAAGAGATAGTATGGGGGTTAAAAAATTGCCTTACATGAGGTCAACCCTGATTTGATCCTGAGGACCATAAATAATTTCCCTAGCACTACCAGGATTGCTTCCTAAGCACTGCTGGGTGTGGTCCCCAAACCAATGTATTTATACTTTACAATAAAGAAGGCAAGACTCAAAATTGTATATACATGTGTATATATATAATTGTATATATATCAAAATTGCATATATATAAAAATTGTACATATATCACGATCATGATCATCCTGTTTTTCGTCGATTGACTCGAGCAGGCCCCAGTAACGTCTCCTTTGTCCTAGCCCTGGGATTTTAAAAAGTGCCATATTCAAGGCTCTTTCAGGGTTAGGAGAATGAGACCCATCGTTGTTACTGGTATTTGGCATATTGGGTATGCCACGGTACGCCACGGAAGTTTGCCAGATTCTGCCATGTGGGCAGGTAACATTCGGTAACCTGCCAGGTTGTCCAAAGTAAGAATGAGATAATAAGATGTCGCGTGGCCGATATATATGTGTGTGTGTGTTTGTGTGTGTGTGTGTGTATACAATTCTGAGTCTTTCCTTCTTTATTTATAAAGTATTAATATTAAAGGTCGCTACTTCTTAGAAATATTGTAATGGCATCAAAGGATCATCAAGTGGGTTGTAAAGCAGCTCATTTTTCAGTTTCCTGAGAAGTCACCATCCTGTTTCAATAGGAGTTGGTCCTCTAGTGGATGAGACTCCTTTTCACCACATCTCTGCCAACACAGATTGCTCCCAATATTCATGGGATATGCTATACTTCATGGTGTAAGATGGATTAATAACCATTATGTAAATTAAATTTTAAGAATTTACGATAGTCAAACCAATTCAAACAAGAACCATTTATAAATAACAGAAGTAAGGAAAATGAGAAGAGCTGGAAGATATGCGTTTTCTTTGTGGCTACTCTGGGCGTGCTCAGGGCTTACTCCTGGAAGTGCTCAGGGGACCATTGTGGTGCCAGAGATTAAACATTAGTGAGCTGTGTGCCAGAAAATTACCTTGTCCACTGTACTATCTCTCCAGCCTGGGTTTTTATTTTAAACTTACTAATTTCCTTTCATTTTTAATTTATCATAGTCAATACCAAGAATTTGTTTACTTAAATATACAAGTGAATGAGAAAAAAGCTAAATAACCTCAGTGATGTTCTAACCACTGTAGCACTGTGGCACTACCCTCCTGTCATTCATCGATTTGCTCGAGTGGGCACCAGTAATGTATCCATTGTGAGGCTTGTTGTTACTGTTTTTGGCAAATCGAATACATCACAGGGAGCTTGCCAGGCTCTGCCATGCAGGCAGGATACTCTCGGTAGCTTGCCAGGCTCTCTGAGAGAGACGGAGGAATCAAACCCAGGTTGGCTGCATGCAAGGCAAATGCCCTACCTACTATAGCTGGAGCTACCGCTCCAGCCAAATTCAAATTCATTAAGATAAACAATATTAATTCATGGGGCACCTGAATTTAAAAAACAACATAATCAATTATATGAAATGGTGCACTTAACCAGAGGTTCCCAAATCAACTGTGTAAAATAAAGCTTTCAACCAGAGGTGCTCCAAACTCCTAAACATGACTCTAAAATTTCTAATTCAAAGAAATGGATGCAGGCTAAGCCTATGGAGTCCCTATGAGATCCTCACTTAAACCCACAACTCCTCTGACTATCAGATATCCCCATAACTAGGATCATTAGATAGTAATATGCACCAATCTTATGACTTTTTCCCCCACAGATTTAGGGATTAGCAAGAGGCAGCATTGAGAGCATCTCACCATGTATAAATGATCTAGCTTCTTTATAGATGGACTGATGTCCTGATATCTAGGTATTGTAGATACCTAGACACAATAGGTAATATCGTCCCATTGTTCAACCATTTGCTCGAGCGAGCACCAGTAATGTCTCCATTGTGAGACTTGTTGTTACTGTTTTTGGCATATTGAATATGCCCCAGGTAGCTTGTCAGACTTTGCCATGCAGGCAGGATACTTCAGTAGCTTGCCAGGCTCTCTAAGAGGGACAGAGGAATCGAACCTGGGTCATCCCGGGTCGGCCGTGTGCAAGGCAAATTCCCTACCCGCTGTGCTATTGATCCAGCCCAGATACAATCGGTATCTACAATAGTACAAAATCTATTGTATTATTACCAAACATCTTGTAAACTTCTTATTTGTTTCCCAACTGGACATGTAACTCTCAGGACTATAAAGAGTGTCATGATCAGTCCTTCTTACTACCTACCTTGCAAAGGTCCAGAACAGGACAGTTACTAATTTATCTGTCATTTACATAAAATTGCTCTGTGACACAAAATTTTCAGGCTTGTTTCTATTTTAAGGTAAGAAGCTGAAGCCCAACAGTCAATAAGATTAAAAACTCATTACTGCAAATAAGGTTATGAACTCATTACTGCAAAAAAAATGTTCACAAAAGAGTGGGAGCACATACTGACTTTTCTAGGCCAGTTACCCTAATGGCAGCGTGATTGCTTCCTATACTTGAAAACATCTGGCCATGGTGTAGTGAAACATATCACCTTAGGGAAACCAAGATCTTTTAAGGAAAAGTTGTTCAACAATAAATAAAAACAAAAAAAAACATAAAAAACAAAAGTAGAAAACAGTCCATCTGTTTTGAAGGAAGACTAGAAGAGCACGGTGCTTAACTCAAAATGTATGCTTGTCTTCCAGTTTTCTCATGAAATTTTAGGTGGTCTTTCTTAAAGTTGCATAATATTCCCGTTTTGTGTGTTTGTGTGTGTATCACATTATCTTGATCCATTCATCTATAGTTGGATATTTGTATCGTTTCCATATAGTGGCTATTGTATTAAATGCAGCAAACATGCAATTTGCAGCAATATGTTTGGAACTGGAATATATCATGCTGAGTGAAATTAGTCAGAAGAAAAAGGGTCAATACAGCATGATCTCTCTCATATAAGGGACTTAAAGAAACACAGCGAGGTATAACAAAGGTCCAAAGGCAACACAATGGGAAAACTGATCCTCACAACTGAGTTGGGCAGGACACTAGGAAGGTAGGAAAATGGGTACTCTGACGAAGGGTGTGTTGTTGGCTGAGAAACCATTATTAATGATATTGGAAACCACACAATCTCAATTTTAAAAATAATTTTTAATTCCAGGTGGACATCGTCCTGCCTCAGGAAAGTCAGCCAGACAAACAGAGTACCTGCTGCATTTTAGTATTATTTGTCTCCCCTTTTGCCAAGCGCCCTGGTGCAGTGAATACACTGCATCGCAATAGATGATGACTCAAGGCTAAAGTGAAAATCTCCAGGGACCAAGGACTAGCTCAATAAACTGGAGAACATGCTTTGTATACAGGGGTCCCAGGTTTGATCCCTGGCACTGAAAAGTCCCGTCAGTACCACTGGAGCAATCCAGGAGCACAGATACCAGGATAGCCTCCAAACACCTTTGGGTTTGGTTCAGAAAACAAAATAAATACATAAACTCCAGAGTGGAGTTACCTGAGATGGGTGCCCAGCTCCAAAGCACTTTTGCAGGTGATGCTGTTACTTCTCTTCTTTTCCTTATTTCAAAAAGAGGATGATGATAGTATATATTTCACATGGAATGTGTTAGAGAAAGGATTAAATAGGAAAATCTGCTGCCCTAAAATTGGTTTGTTTCTAAACCAATTTTCAAATAGAGTAATCTGTATTTCCCTGAAACCAAAAAGTTTCTCTCAAAATGATATGAAACATCAATGTTCGAGAAATGAGTGTAAGTATAGCAAATGTAAAAATGCTAAATCACAAAAGTAAAGTAATGAAATCCATTATGTGATACTTATGAGTCATTCATCTATGCCTTGAATTTAGATAGCAGGTAGAGAAAAAGGCAGGAATACTGGTTCCTACATTTGGAAGAAATTCTGTAGCCTGCTTCTCTAAATTCACAGTAGACAATATAATGGTTTAAAACACCATAACCTTAGCATTTCTCTTCATATGGGAAATACTAATCAGCTGAATAACAAAAACCTAAAGCAGACAATAAGTGAACCTATTTCCAAATAGAAATCATGACATATATTTCCACCCAGCATTTTTTTAAATTTCAGCAACATTGACAGGTTTGCACCATGCCGAGTATAAGTTCTTGCCAAATGAACATATTTCATAATATTCCTTCAAAGATCAGGAACAACCGAGATCTTCCTACCTGAGATTCCTTCAGTCCCAAGGTGATGGCAAGTTTCTTTCTGTCTGTTTTGCTGATATATTTCTGCTTCTGGAACATTTTCTCCAGAGCCTTTCTCTGGTCCTCGGAAAAGACAGCCCTTCTCAAAATACCCCTTCGGGTCTTGGAATTAGAGTCCTGTGTGAAGAGAGGTAGCACTGTCTCTTCCCCTGGAGAGGAAAAAAAAAGGGTGGGGGGGGGAAATGCCTGCTATAGAGAGAAGTCACTGTGACCCCCAACACTCCATTTCTCTCTCTGTAACCACAGCCCACAACCTTGTCTCTTTTCTCTGCACTCTTAGAGTAGTGCTTCTCAACGTCTTTTTGGTCATATCTCTATGGAGAAGTTGATGCTACTGGAAGACAAAGTAGTTATGTAGCTTCCCCAATATTGTGTGTCTTGTTGGGAAGCCCATGGTCCTGAGGTGGCAAAGCCCTAGTAATTAGCAAATACTAGGACAATTTAAATATTGCATTTTCCCCTAATTATTCATTTATTCATTCACCTATCCATTCAAACTGTTAAACACAACAGGTCAGGCTATGCATATAGAAATAAATACACTGGCAAATTAAATATACATATACATTGTATCCCTCTCATTACCATAAAATCTAGTAGGAGGCTCTTTACTGAATATTACAAGTGTAATGAGTTATTCCTAAGGAGGGTGCCCTGCTATATGCTACTGGTCTCTTGAGCTATCCCTGAGTCACTCCACATTACAGTTCATCTTCACACTGGATTACCCCTCTTTTGCTTCAGGTCTTCAATATTCCTATCTACTTATGAATGCCATGCTCCTTGGAACGTAATCAAGTCCCTATTTTGCAATGGATCTGCTTTCATTGATGCCCTTTCCATTCTTCCTTTCATGAGATTTTGTTTAATTCTCACTTATAGTACCAATTATTTTTGCCAGTATTATGGCAACAACCTGTCTTAAAGCCAGACTTTAACAACTGGAGTCACTATTCTTTATCAGATATTTGATTGACTTTGTGAAATACTGGTCAATAATAAAAGTATTCTGATGTTTTAATTTTTCTATTTTTTCTTCTCAGAACTTCTTTGGTATACTGACATGGAATTGGTTCTTCTGTACTGGTTCACAGATGACATTCTGTAGGAAATCTCAGGACAAAGAACCTTGAAGTCTGGAAAAAAAACTGAATTTGACTGTGTATTTCATCTCTTTCAAGCAAGTTACTTAATCTCTTTCAGTTTATCTACTATTCCTTTAATTAGAAAAATCTAAAGATATGAAGAAACAGCACAAGAAAATTCAAGTGCCCAAATCACAGGTAAGGATACTATGGATCATACCGTATAAGAATCATACTACAAGAACCCTGCATAGAAATGGAAGTTTTTAGAGTTTTATGGTCCAAAATTATACAGAACTCAGCTGATTGCAAGGTCTTATAAATCCAAATTCTATTTTCATTCTTCTGCCCACATGGCTTCTTTATTCAGGCTTGATTCGTCAAGCATGAGGAGGGAGAAACATTAATACACACAATGAGGGCTCTAGTTTGTATTATAGGCTTCTCTGCACTATTCTGGAAAAGTCTACATCTGAATTATCAAGCATCTTCTTGATAACTGTGCCCTCATACTCCAAGTATCCTTCTGGCATGGTGTTTTGACCTTGTCATTCTTTATATTATTTATTTGTAAACTGTATGATCTACCACTATTACAAATATATATACACATGTATATATGTAATTAAGGGGAAAATATGTATATATAAATCAATAAAAAAATAAATACAAGGATAAAGTACCTAAGTAAATTATGGCATATTGACTCAAAGAAATCTTAAAGAACCATTAAAATGAGGGCACTAAGATAAGGTAGCAGCAAAAATAACAAGCTGTAATACACATGACATTTTAGGCTATCTGCTATGCTTATCAAGTAAAATGCAGATAAAATATGAAGAAGGCAAAAACAAACACCGAACTAGATCAATGTTGCATAATTGTATACAATAATTAATGTCCACTCATTCTGTGTTTTAATTCTATTTCAATTTTCTAAGGAAAACAAGAAATATTGTAAGAATGTTTTAAGGAGTAGTCTGAGACAGTTAATGAAACTCCTTATTTTTACAATAGAATAGTTCACAGTGGATGAAATTCAAAAATATAAACTTACAATACAGTGAGATAAATATCCATGGAACATAGTATATAAAGCACTTAACAACTAGGAAAGAAACCACTTATGTCTGAAAGCCAACAGAGTAAGCCAACAACAGCATCTTTTGCTGACAATCCAAGTCAGGGACAGCAGAGTTCACATTTGCAGATGCCCAGCAGAGGGAGGTCAAGTGTAAAACAAATGAATGTGAGTGGGCAGAAGGAAAGGTTAGGAGATGAGGAGAGTCATATTAAAATGGCAGAATGACCTAGGACAGAAAAGTTTTCCAAGGCACGCTTCCCTGGATCCTGAGAAAGCCCTCAAATAGCATCTCACAGGAATCACATGTGCAATAAGCCTAATGAAATGTAATATAAATCAGATCTGTCAGATCTGTTCTCCCATTGTTCATCGATTTTCTCGAGTGGGCCCAGTAATGTCTCCATTGTGACATTTGTTACTGTGTTGGCATATTAGATACATCACGGGTAGCTTGCCAGGCTCTGCCTCGCGGGTGAGATACTCTTGGTAGCTTACTGGGCTCTCTGAGAGGGGCGGAGGAATAGAACCCGGCTCGGCAGGGCCAGCTGCATGAAAGGCAAATGCCCTACCGCTGTGCTATCGCTCCAGCCCGCAATGTGTAAATATTATCACTTGTGGGGGAGTGGTAGGGGGTTGTTGATTAGGACAAAGAAACAACAAATTTACACTAGTGAAAATATGTCTCTCCTCCACTTCCTTTGCCTCCCCTTTTTTTGCCTCCACTTCTAGAAACTATCTTAACTCTGAAGACAGAACACTGATATTTAATAATGAGCAGAGCCTGGAGAACACAGATTCATTTTTGAATCATTACACCAGCAGCAGAGAGCTGCATCGCTATACTGTTGTAGAGGCAATTCAACCGATTACCTCCCACAACTATGTGCCAGTATTATGTGTGATGTGATGATTCATTCTCACTCATGTGAATCTCTAGATTATTGATCCCATTTAAGGAAATTCCCTAACTCTAAAATCTTTAACGTCTTGCTTCAAGAAGTCCTGCAAAGAATTTTATACCCAGTATTACCCTCTGCCATTCATGCTCAGTATTACTCTGTCTTGCCCACTTGCTTTGCTGTTTCCTATTCAAGCCTCTATTTGCAATCTAAATGCTTTTTGTAATATACATTACATGGACATATGTTCCTTTCGGGATACTTAAATCAGAAGTTATCACAAAATTTTTCAGAAATAGAATTCCAACATCCTTTTTCATTTTTTCTTTTTTAATGAAGTAAAAATCATGTTATTTAAAGAAATTTACTTAGAAAAATGTGAAGGTAGAAGAAAAAACATATATGTTCAAGAGAGAATAGGAGAGAAAACAGGCCACTCTAGAGTGGAAAAGTCAGAGTATGGTTTGGGGGATAAGGTTATATACGACTTCTCCAAATTGTTTTGCCCTGGAATTCACTTCATACATAAAAGCAAACTGGGGTGTTGTCACCGAGAAAGCTTTGAAGGACCCTTGATAATCCTTTTGTATTTTTACCATAAGCTTTAGATGTTTCTGTATAGATTTTCAGAGCTAGAAGAAACATTTTTTTAATCCAGATTTCCAATAAGGTAAAGGTAAAGGCCCTCCCGTTGTTCATCGATTTGCTCGAGCGGGCCCAGTAACGTCTCCATTGGAGACTTTGTTGTTACTGTGTCTGGCATATCGAATACGTCACGGGGAGCTTGCCCAGGCTCTGCCATGCGGGCGAGATACTCTCGGTAGCTTGCCAGGCTCTCCAAGAGGGGCGGAGGAATCGAACTTGGGTCGGCCATGTTGGCTGCGTGCAAGGCAAACGCCCTACTGCTGTGCTATCGCTCCAGCCCAGATTTCCAATAAGCCACCTAAATACCAAAAGCCTTCATTAACTACATCATCACAGTCACGGTCACGGTCCTCCCGTTATTCATTGATTTGCTCGAGCGGGCCCAGTAACATCTCCATCGTGAGACTTGTTGTTACTGTGTTTGGCATACTGAATACGTCATGGGTAGCTCTCCAGGCTTTGCCGTGCAAGCGAGATACTCTCGGTAGCTTGCCAGGCTCTCCGAGAGGGGTGGAGGAATCGAACCCGGCTCAGCTGGGCTGGCTGCACGCAAGGTGAACGCCCTACCGCTGTGCTATCGCTGCGACATCTGTCACCCCATTGATCGCCAGGGTTGATTCGGCTGACCTGGCTGGCTAGGCGGGTGTTCCCTTCCTCCCTCACCGCTCCATGTGCGTCCCTCCCGAAGTTGCGCGCTCAGTCAAAGAGGACGGCCTTCCCCGAATAGAGACGGACCGGTCTTTGGTCCAGGGCATATGAGTAGCTGCGCTCCCCTGCTAGAACCTCCAAACTACATGATCAAGTATAAGTTATTTCAAGTGCTGAGTCTGTCTCTCAGAGTCAAATTTTCAAATATGGAATGCTTCTGGTCTATGGTTTTATCTTTTTTTTCTCAATAACACTCATAACTCTCTCTTGTTTCTCTTTCAAGAATTTCTCAATTTCTTTCAGTAAAGAGTTTTATTGTTCCTATTTTCAATAAGGGCCGAGGGCGGTATACTTTGTGCATGAGGATTAGACACATAAAATGGAATATTAGCTGGGTATGCAGTATATAAACTAGAAGTTATAAAACTTAGAAATTTAAGGAACTAGAGTTATAATACAGCCAATAGCGTATTTGCCTTGCACACAAATGAACTGGGTTTAATCCCTGGCATCCCATATGGTATCCGAGTACTGGCAGGAATAAATCCTGAGCTCAGAGTCAAGAATAACCCCTGAGCACTGGGTGTGACCCCCCCAAACAAACAAAAAGAAATATTGTATACCTGAAAGCAAATCATGAAAACTATAGTCTCACAGTGACTCAATTTAAAAAAAAAACAAACTAGAAACTTAAAACTACCTTCTTATGACTAAATAAACTTGAATCTGGGAATGCTATGTTAATAACACTTCATTAGGGCTGGAGCAATAGCACAGTGGTAGGGCGT